TAATGATGAATAAATAATTTTCGAGCAAAATTTAAATGGCCGGCTGAATATATTACCGCAGGAGCCGCGGCCGCGGAATTTAAATGACCACGTCAAAGGGTTAAAATGGATATAGCTTGATGAGATGTGAATTGTAATTAACTGACTCAGGTGCTGACCATACCCAAATGTGGATCTTATGGTGTTCCTATTTTCTCTCACCTTCAAGTTCACTTGTGCTCCTTTTATGATAAGACACTTCATTTCCTCCACCTTGCCATTCAAAGCACATAAGTGCACTGGACTATATCCTGCAACAGAGAATGCTCTGTTATCATCAAATAATGTATAAAACATTAAAAACTAATTAAGACACAAAGACCTCTCAATATTTTGTTTCAAGCACTGATGGCTGATAACTATGAATCCTAGTCTTCACTTTAACATGAAGTTGAAAAACTTTATCCAGTTCCATGAAAAACCTAAGCATTAACAATTTGCACACCTTAAGCCATTACACTGACTCGGCATACTTCAAGCTAAACTGCCAGAGCAGCAGAAGTTGGCTTGCTATTAATCACTCAGTTTAGCATTTCAGTCACTAGATAGCATTAAGTGTGATATACTGATGGTGAGAGGAAACCGCAAGCTTCCAGTACTGCTCGTTATTCTGTGCAATTGCATTCACCCCAAAGCAGCTTTGGCATATTTGGCAAGTTGTTTTATGCCAGAATTTAGCAGTTAAATGATTGGAACTACATTAATACTCGGTAGAGAAGACTCTGAGATATAAAACAACTGATATTAAGAATATACATCTTTGATCTTCACTAACTAAATAAATAATCTGTACTGATGTAAGAACAAAATTTCTTCCCAACTCTTCATTCAAGAGTACTTTTGGTCCATCAACAGAATTTATCAGTGGAAAATTGTGTAAACAGCAAACCTTCCTGAAATACAGTAACAAAAAGACGATTCTCAAAGTACAAAACAAACATGTACTTACCTTCATCATTGATGTCATCAAGGGGCAAAGACTTTGTACTGTTGGTATTTAGAATTGCTTTTACACAGTCTAAATTCCCATGCAACACTGCTAAATGTAGTGCTGTGTTGCCATTACGGTCCTTTACAGATGACTGCGCACCAAAAGATATCAACATCCGGACAATCTCCGCATTACCATTCAGGACAGCAAGATGGAGTGGGGTCTGAAGATAGAACAAAATCTAATTACATTTCTATTAATTTTTTATCGTGTCCCATTTTTTATTAAGTGTCCTAGTTCTTAGGGTAAAAATGGGAATGTCCCATTTAAAAAAAAAAAGCGAACATGCCTCCTGCCATGCCCATTGTACATATTTTCATCTCCAGTTGCATAAGTCTGCACTGAGAGATCATTGCAGCATTGCATATGTAGCTCATTCTCAACAAGGGGTCATCCAGATTTCCATATAAATAGTACCCTGACAGTAGCACATCCTGCACTGGCAATCTGATTGTTTTCACAGAATATGTTTTTGTAAAAACAAAATGAATGTAAGACATTTGAACCATCATGATAAGTTCCTATTTTCAATAAATTTGTAACAGTTATCCATCTCTACACACATATCTGCCTTCACTTCTTTCTAGTAGGCAAATTTATAGCAAGAACTGATCCCTTCAAAAACATGTCTGAAACCTTAGTGTTTCTTCGTAATATTGTTGAGACCTCAGTGTGCATAAGTATCATATTATTTAAAAATTATACCAGACCTCTTTGAATTAAATTATTATATTAGTGTATCTTAACTCTGATCCCTCCACATTCAAAATATCTCGCATTATAAACACGTCTATAAACACTAAATCGAACATATTAGTGCCTCTTACAGATCATCCGTTCATCGTTATGTTTCTCTTTACCTAACTTCTGCCATTAGAAAAAAAATATTTTTACTTTTACATCACTCCATACCTTTCAGCAGAATATGAGTTTATAAACTTCCTGAACACATGAGCACACACGCCTTCTTATTCCAAACCACAACCTTACTTTCTGCATGATACCAGGAAAGGCACACCCCCTTCAAATTAATTTAAAAATATAATCCCATACAAAGAAACATAAAATGTCATACATACCTCCTTATCAAGGTTGTATACATCCAGTTTTGACTTGCGAGCACAGAGTACCACACACTGTCGTTTTACAAGAGTTATATTCTCGTTTATCACAGCTCTATGCAGAGGGCTGTAACATATCAAGTTAACAAAATTGTATTTGAACATTCTGCTGCATTAACTGATCACTCTGTTTTGGCATCCTGCTACATTAATTGATTAGCTGAAAGTGTGGATTAATTGGTGATGTGACCAAAAATCTGTGAAGCTGCACTAACAACTTTATTGTTTGTTGTTTCCCAGCTGTGTAGCAAGATGTCTAGTTCAAAACTCATTAGATTTTTTTGAAGTAACTGCAGGGGATCAACAAAGAATACCACTGTTAAAGATGGTATCCACATTCGAAATATGTTAAATGATAAGATATAAAATACGGTTGCAAAATACATCTATTTCTGTGTTGAAGTTCTCAGCTCCATACATCAATTGTCAATCATTTAACTCAGATTATTTTAAAATAATTATAATGGGTTTGCTGAGATGAGCTGCCATATTATTATGACACATGATGTAGAAAGGTTTCAAATTCAAGTCTTCTTTCAATACTTTTCTAGAGTTCTTGGTGTCAGCACAAACGCTGGCTGATGTTGCTTCTTTGTAGCAATAGACCCCCTTTCATGTTACTTTTTGTACAAGTAGAACATGTGAAGACTACAGTGTTTCGGGAAGGGAAACCATGTAGTTTGGTGGATAGGTACCAAAGTTTTAGAGGAACATGAGGCCTCCATCTTCAAAAGAATGATTATTCTATACTGAAGATGGAAGCAGCACAATTCTCTGAAACACCAGTACCTTCTATTGAACTACAAGGCATTTTTTTTTTCAATGTGATATCTCATCTTGGGAAAAAGGGGAGGGAGAATGCAAACTCAAATGCTCATCACTGAGTGGCCATGAGAAGGAACATGCAAATATTCAGAGAAATGAAGAGTACACTTCTCACAACACTACTCTCGTGACAGACTTCGTTAATGACAACACAATTCATTGCACGCTAACTGATCACTAAGCAAACTGATGAACACAATACAGTCTAGTGTTACATGATCTATGTCCAAAATACACGTACTTACATTCCGCAAACACACTTTATCAAGTCTCTTCTGATTAGCTATTCTTTGTTTTATCTTATTTTATTCTATCAACCCCACACTCACTCATGGAGCTCAGCCCTTCGTGATGCCGCCAATTGTGTAGCCACTCAAGTACTTCCCAACATTTTACAGAACCCGAATCAAATCCATATCATCCATCCTATCGCTCTAAGATCCATTTTAATATTGTCTGCCCATGTATGCTTTGGTCTTCCCAGTGGTCTCTTTCCTTCTGGTTTTCCCACCAATATCCTATATGCATACCTCTTCGCCCTCAATCACGTTACATGCCTTGCCCATCTCATCCTCCTTCACTTGATCATTCCAATTATATTTGAAGAGTACAAGTTATAAAGCTCCTCATTATGCAGTTTTCTCCAACCACCTGTCACCTCATCTCTCTTCTATCTAAATATTCTCAACACCCTGTCCTCAAACACCCCCAGTCTATGTTTATGGAATTTACTGAATACATGTTCTAGTTCTTTGTAGAACCTGTCCTTCACATCATTAATTTTGTCCTCTGTTGGGGCATGAATGTTCAGAATAATATCACACCAGCGACCTCTTAGTATCATGTATGACATCCTATTACTAACAAATTCCACCCTCTTAACTGATATGATTCTCTTATGTATGAAAAGACCTGTACCTAATTCATGATTGTCATTCCCCTTTCCATAGATAAATGTATGGTTGCCTGCGGATTCGGTGCCACCTCCGTCTCATCTGACCTCATGTACTCCAAATAAATCTAACTTATATTTTGAGATTTCTTCCACCACTGCCCTGAGCAAACCTGCCCTTTACAGACTTCTAACATGCCAAGTACCAAATCTCATATCCATTTTCTTTCAAGCAGATCGTTTATCCAAGGAATCTGCCAGGTCCGAGGATTCTTGTGATCTTTCATAACAAGTTTATTTTTACAGTGAGAGATTCTTGGCCCCATGTCCAATCCTCAAGCTGGAGGACCACACCATGTCAGCTGTCTGCAACTGCTTACTCAATATATTCACAGCTACCCTACATATCTGGAGGGCGTCTCTTCCATCCACAACCTGAGGACACACCATGTCGTGGTGACAAGGGACCTACATAACATGTTATAAATCCCATATATGAATTAGGCCACTCACCATGTCACATTCAAAAACATTTTTTTGGTCGAAACATCCTCCTTCATTTTTTATTTCTTCACTTCTCTATACATTTACCAAATGAATTAAAGAGACATCAAACAATTAAAAAGGACCAGTACTCACATGTTTCCACTCTCATCTGGAATGCCACATCGTGCCCAGTCTTCAAAAGCTTGACGCACAAGTGCATCACTTATCTTTGCTGCTACTTCACTGCTCTTTGTATTTCTGGGTTTGTTTAATAAATCTGAGTCAGGGAAGTATACCATAGCGGCACTTTTATTCTCATTACCACCAATTCCTTCCATCATTGTCTTTTGCTTTGGGGGCGACTTTCTCACCTGTGCAGCTATATTATGTTCAACAATAATGTCATATATTGATTTTCTGTTCTTTTCACTGCTGATATTTGTTCCACATTTTACTGGTTTACTTGAAGCCGGATTATTTGTTACTCCTGGGAGTCCACTTACAGCAATATTTGTGTTTCTAAGCACATTCAAATTATGTAATATTTCTGCTTCTGAAGTTCTGATAGATGAATTTAAAAGAATAACATCACTTTTACTGCGCTGTGAAGGATCCTGAATTTCCATATTTGTTGCATTATTACCAGAGTCAAAAGATACTGTACCGGAAGAAGACTGTGTAGCCTGCATGTCAGAAGTTACAGAACCACCTGGATCATTCTGGGACTTCAGTGTCACATCCAACCTAACTTTCTTTTTATCTGGCTCATCTGAGGCAGTTGTCATACCACCACTGAGTGAAACATTCTTCTCAAACACCTTCTCATCAATTCCGCCTGTCCTTGCCATAAGTTTCTTACCACAGCCTGATACTATGATTGCAGGAGGGGTGCCTGAATTCAATACATATCCACATGGCTTCTGCATTACAGCAATGTTTTCTTCTGCCACACATTTTGTTCCTGAACTAACCATTTCTCCTAGATCCTCTGAAAAAAAAAACAGGTTGTTACAAAACAAGTTCAAAGACTCTTTATGTACCCTTCTGACATACAGAGTGGTACAGATGTAACCACGGTACAGGTTCTCCCAAAACACCACACTCAACACAAACATGGTAGTGCTGAAACTTCATAAAAATCATGTAAATATATTTAAAGCAAATTAAATCATTAAGATGATCTTCAAAAATCTTAATTCAGTCACTGAACTGGTGTGAGACATGCTGGAATGACACATGTTTCATGCGATAAATATACAAAACTCAGGTGCACAGTTACATAGTCCCTGCATCAGAAATATGTTTAATGAATTTTATGCACTGATTTTGGTAGACCTTAATCACTTCCTCTACACTCAACCTTCACCACCAAAATCAGACAAACTGAACGCAACCTAGACTCTGCATATAATACCACATTACTATCACAATATGGGTAGGAAGAGGGTGGTTATTTTGTTGTGCAGTGAGTTTATGGTTTGGCATAATTGTGGTGGCCTCAACAGTCACTAAAACAGTCGGTGAAGACCCCTCAAATGTTCTAGTAACACTACAGACCATTACCTCAAAGAAGAGTACAACTCCTTGTGAAAATCGACAATTTCTATTAATCGTTCCTCATGTGGCACCTGGTTTGGGGAGGGGGAATTCACTTATAAATTCTCCAACAGAATTGCAATATTTGGTGTTGACTGCCACTGTAGTCTTGCGGTTAAGAGTTCCTGGCTACAGATCCAGAGGTCAGGCGTCGCCACCAGATTTTCTGAGAAGCAGTGTGCCTGAAACGGGGTCCACTCAGCCTTGTGAGGATAACTGACGAGCTATTTCAAGGAAATAGCGACCCAGGACTAGAAAACCGAGATTAAAGGCCATGGGGATCGTTGCGCTCACCACGCAACACCCTCTATCCGCTAAAGTTGGCACTAACTTTGCCGACAAGCGGCGGTCACTCGGTCGATATAGTTTGCTTGCGGACTACAGGCCATGGAATTTCTTTTTTGTTTTATTAATCTTGTAAGTTTTGGCCAGGGCATATGTCAGCTTGACACTGTTTCAATTTTTTTAGTTCTGATTTTGGCCAGGGCATATGTCAGCTTGACACTGTTTCAAATTTTTTAGTTCTGACATATTTCTCAAGTATCAATTAGTTCACATCACTCAGATGTTTAAGATTCGTTTATTACATGTGTAACCGTCCATCATAATTTGGTGGACTATTTTGTAATAATTAAATCTAATTTGGTGGACTATTTTGTATTAATTAAATCTATATTAAGTTAATATCACGTAAATACAAAGAGATCCGGCAGATAGCCAACTCTTACATGCAGAAGTGACATAGTTCAAGTTTTGCTATGTGGACAGGAAGTAACATCTGGTACATTTCCTGGAATTCTGGTAGCAAAGTCGGGAAGTCTCTGAGAATTTGAGAGCTGACAGCTTGGAACAGCTATAACTTAGAAGTGGGAGGGCCGGAGCCTCATCCCCTGGTCCTAATGCATCAAGGGGCTGTCAACCTTAGCATCAGGTCAGCAACTGCCAGAATCACATAGCAAAGCAACATGACTGGAAATTCACAGATTTAGGGAACCTCCTTGTTTGAAAACTTAACCAATGGCAAATGTTGAGGAGTGGATTTCTCTTGGAGTCTGGGGTTCGTGAACCTGAGTATTCAGAGAGAGAGAGTGCATTCCCCCACAAGGATTTTTCTTCATCCAACTTTTGGCCAAGTCAGACACAAAATATAACTACGTCCCTTCAGTAAAAGTATTATAAGTTAAAATTCCAAATAAGTGTTACTGATAGATTCCTTTGTATTCAGTGAGCTGGAGTGAATTAAATAAGTACTAAGTGCAAAAGTCTGAAGTGGTGTGTGTGACTGTAGTGAAAGAATCTTCCTGTCCTGCCCTGCCCGAGCCAGACCCGTATAAGAACTCATCTCTACCAATTACAGAGCAGAACCCAGATACTCCTATCTTTCCTTGCTTGCGAGACACTTAATGGTAGTACCGAAACGGAACTCTCGCCTACCAGCACCAACAACAAAAATCTTCCTCCCTTCCCACCTAACTTCTCGCCATCCACAAGAAGAGGGAGGAGGGCAGTTAAAAGGACGGTGATAGAAGTGGAAACCAATGTAAAGGGCCCAACGAAGTGAGCGGTTAAAACTGAACGTATGCCAGTGGTGAAGTTTCAAGCCGACTGTAGTAGACGACAAGGTTTTCCCAGTGAGTGTTTTTATGTGAATGAGTTTACTTTATGAAGAGCACTAGCTTTCTGGGATACAATGCCGCGCAGTCGTTGAAACTCAAACGACGTTTCGGAGGAATATATCGCCTCCAGTTTCAGGTCGAAGAATACTCTGTGCAAGAAACCCGAGTGAGAGCAGGTGGCAAGTACAGTTCTGAAAGAGACAAATGACGTTTTGCTTTCCACACCGTCCATAATCTCCTTTCCATTCATCGTCTGTACCAACAACGAGGTGCGTGGATCACTGTTAAATTAATCTCTTGGTGCAGAACAGTCGCTAATTTCCACATTTATCAATTATACAGTGACATATATTCGTTCACTTCTTCTATAAACGAGAAGTTTGCGAAAATGCCTGTCCCTAATTTATAAAGCAATTTCGATACAAATCAGTGTCTTCGGAAAAAAAAAACATTCAAATTTAATTATGTTTTCCTCCAACGGATAAGAAGTAAATACAGACGGTACGGCCACTGTACATACCTGTCCTGGTAACAATCTGTCGTCTAAAAATGACAGCACGATTTGCTTCTAACAATTCCACCAACGGATAAGAAGTAAATACAGACGGTACGGCCACTGTACATACCTGTCCTGGTAACAATCTGTCGTCTAAAAATGACAGCACGATTTGCTTCTAACAATTCCACCACTCAGCCTTCACGCCACTCGCAGAGACACTCCCCGCTTATGACGCCAGGTTTACGCCTGCTGGCTTCACAGTGTTCACGGCGTATACTCTCGCCTTGAATTGTGCTGCACCATCTGAAGGCCTGTACATATACACCGGGGATTCACAGCGAGATCCACGAGCGCCAAGCTGGCCTTTACACGGAGTCAACAACCATCATGGCACGACAATACTGAATCCTTATTTAGCGAGCCATGCAATATGAAAAGTCACACATGACCTGAACTATACATCGTGAAGGTATGGCTATGGAAGCTACATATATCCGAAAGATGTTTTGTCTCCAGACAAGAGTGAATGGTGCTGCCCAATTCGGCGTACACAGTGTTTAAATGTGAACTTTTACAACACATTGGTCTTTATGTCCATTTACTGAAGTTACGAAACTGTTGTTATAACGCTAATTTCACACTGAAAACGGCCAGGATTTAGTATATTCCTTATATTTCGTTAAATAAACACCATATCGAAAACTCCGTGGTTTTAGTCTGCAAGCGAACTATACCAACCGAGGGACCGCCGTTTGTAGGCGAAGTTAGTGCTAACTTTTGAGGACAGAAGGTGCCGCGTGGTCAGCGCAACGAATCCCCACGGCCGTTAATTTCGGTTTGCTACACCAGAGCCGCTATTTCCTTGAAATAGCTCCTCAATTTTCTTCACGAGGCTGAGTGGACCCCGTTCCAGACACACTACCTCTCAGAAAATCTGGTACCGCCGGGAATCGAACCCGGGATCTCAGGATCTGTAGCCAGGGGCTCTGACCACTAGACCACAGTAACTTCGCCGACAAGCGGCGGTCGTTCGGTCGGTATAGTTCGCTTGCAGGCTCAAGCCACGGAGTTTAGTTTTTTTTTTACATCCGCTCAGCGGTCAGTGATAACACATGTAGTTAACAAGGAAGTACCCGTGGGATTTCCCCGCGTGAGTTTCTGAAGTGCAAATACTGAACGAGACTTCCTTGTACCACTTTTCAAACGATGGAGTAGGACACTAAATCAATATCCACATTATCGACAAATACAACTGCATGTCTTCATCCGGCTCAAATTGGTAACGAGAACGTAACGAGGCAAATATTCTACAGTAACACATGCAGTGCCGGTCACAGTGGCGGCGCGGTCTAAGTCATGAAACGTATTCGCCCGCTCTAACACTGGGATCGTGAGTTCGAATCCCACTCGAGACATGGATCTCTGTGCGCGTTTATTCTGTTTGTGTTCTGTGTGTTTGAAGCGTCCTTGCGACGGGCTGATCCCCCGTCCAAAGACTCCTACCGACTGTGTACAGGGCTGCAGATCCATACTTACTTATTCATGGAACTGAGCCCTTCTGGAGGAGCTGCCAATTCTGCACCTACTCAAGAATTTCCCAGCAATTTATGGAACCCGAAGGTTCATTACCGTGTTCACAAGAGCCCTCCACTGGTCCCTATCATGAGCCAGATCAGTACAATCCTGTCTCTCTAAGATCCATTTTAATACTGTTCACCCACCTACGCCTTGGTCTTCCCAGTGGTGTCTTTCCTTCTGGTTTTCCCACCAATATCCTATACGCATTCGTCTCCCCCATCCGTGCTACATGCCCTGCCCACCTCATCCTCCTTGACTTGATCATTCTAATTATACTTGGAGAAGAGTACAAGTTATGAAGCTCCTCACTGTGCAGTTTTCTCCAACCTCCTGTCACTTCATCTCTCTTCGGTCCAAATATTCTCCTCAACACCTTGTTCTCAAACAGCCTCAGTCTATGTTCCTCCCTTAATGTCAGAGACCAAGTTTCACACCCATACAGAACCACAGGCAAAATTATAGTTTGGTATATTCCAATTTTCATGTTTTTGGACAGCAGACGAGAAGAAAAAGATTCTGGACTGGATGGTAGCAAGTATTGCCCGAGTTCAATCTTCTCTTAATTTCATCCTGAACCAGGTTTCCATCTGTTATCGTTGTCCCCAAATATCTGAACTGTGCCACATTTTCAAAACATCTGTTTCCTATCTTTATGTCATGATTTTGCCCTGTATTTTGGTGATGAGACAGCAACATATA